ATGGTTTCTTTTCTAAGAGTTGTGGGCATGGCTTCTCTTCACAGCAATAGAACAGTGACTAGAACAGAAGTTGGTACCAGGGAGCAAGGTTATAGACACGACCATGTGGCTTGTTGGAAGAATGTGAACATTGGGAGTTTGGATTAGTAGAAAATTTAAGTGGGGCTCAATGGGCCAGGCTAGTAGGAGCATGGATGACTGTGGTGCTGAGGGTGATTTGAATTGTAGGGGACCCCAGCTCAAGAGATTGCAGAGGAGAAGAATATTACTAAGTGGTCTAGAGTCCATTGTTGGGATAGTTTGGCAAAGAACGTGGCTGCTTTCTGCTCTTGTCAAAAAAGTCAAAAACCTGAGGCTACATGGAAGAGTTTTAAAGTTTAATGGCATTGGCTGAGGAAATGTCAAGACAGCCTTGTACTGACTGTGTCCTGCGGTTATTAGTGGCCACTCTGATGCAGATCAAAAACTAAAAGGAGCAAGCTGAGCAAGGAAAAAAAAACAAAATGTAGTTTGAAGAGAAAAAGAGCACCAGGAACTGTATTAGAGCTAAGTCAGTTGCTCAAGGAGATAAAAAGTTTAAAGAGAAGCTATACGGAATAAAGGCAGTGGTGACCTCGGGCCAAGACATCACCAGCTAAGCTTCCAACTTGTGAAAAGAAATTAAAGAAACGCTTAAGGAGTAAAGGAAACCCCCCAAAATAGAAAGCTGTTGAAAAGGTATATGAGCAAGGGGCAAGTTCCAGCCCCATCAATCAGCAGAACTCCGCAGCTTTGTCCACTTGGTTCTGGATTTAGAGTCAAGGATGCAAAAAAGGGCTGTGGTGTTGTGGGGTACCCACCAGAGAAGACTGCTCAGACATGGTTTACGCCAACAGAAAGTCTTTATTAGCTGGTCAGTGACTACCCGGGGTGTTCAGGACCCAAGTGCAGTCTCAAGTTTTTCACAGGGTGAACTTTCAAGCACCAACACCATATTCTGGGTTGACATACTTCAGTTAATAAGAACAGTTAGACAGAAACAGAACTACAGAAGCCAAAAAGCAAGGTTACTACATTTAAGACTTTCCCAGAACCTTGGACTTGGACAGATTAGGTCTTTGTTTTCATTTTGGCAGATGATACTGAGTTTTACAGCCTGATTGGTACTTGCATTATGGAGTCAGTCGTGCTAGGTCTGGGAGCCTACTAAGGTCCGGGGCCTTAGTACATTCCCCACTAGTTTTAGTAAAGAAGTTAAATCATGGACTTACAGTGCTCTATAGTTTAAGATGGAGAACCCCTCCATTAATCCAATCAGAACGAGAATTAAAGTGCCAGTCAGTGATGGTAGCAGAGTCAGTAGCCAGGGGGACCAAGAGAACAGAGACCAGCACCAATTAACTAATCTCTCTCTCTCTCTCTCTCTCTCTCTCTCTCTCTCTCTCTCTCTCTCTCTCTCTCTCTCTCCTTCCCCAACCTTGACAATTTTTTTTCTAATTACTCCTGATCAACTAGCATAGAAACAACAGGTTTCTCCTAAAGCCACACTTAGTCCCCTACATCTCAGGAGAAATGAATCTAAGTCTCTCTGATTTTGTAGGAGCACTTCTGCAAGGGCGTCTAACTGTAGTCCTAATTCAGAAATTGAAACTTACAATACTTCTGGGTCCTGATCAGCCTGTCTACTTACTTTCTGAAGGTTTTACCTCCCATGACAAAGGCTGATGTATCTATGGCTGTTGAGCTAGCTATCCCTGCTCTGACCAGAGTGAGAGGAGGACAGGTGCAACTATTTATTTATTTATTTATTTATTTATTTATTTATTTATTCATTCATTCATTCATTCATTCATTCATTCATTCACTCATTGTAGTCCAGGGTCCATATTGTTTCTTTTTTCTATTACATAAAAAGCATCAGAAGAGCACATTTAGTAGAGCCATTAGTACATGCTAACCAAGTAGTCTCAGGGGCTCAGTGATATTGCTGTTGTCCAGATGAGTTAACCTGAAAGGCAGAACAGCAGGCATCAGAATAAGGGGAAACACCTAGGTTAAAGGTTTTTCTGTAACAGACAAGTTTAAGGCCCTTGTAAAAGTCCTCTAATGAGCCAAACGAAAGGAAACACATGAACTATGAACCAAAGGCTGAGGGGCCCCCAGCTGGAGCAGGCCCTCTGAATAGGTGAGACAGTTGATTGGCTTGATCAGTTTGGGAGGCATCTAGACAGTGGGACCAAGCCCTGTGCTCATTGCATGAGTTGGCTGTTTGAAACCTGGAGCTTATGCAGGGACACTTGGCTCAGTCTTGGAGGAAGGGACTGGACCTGCCTGGACTGAGTCTACCAGGTTGATCGCAGTCCTCGGGGGAGGACTTGTCCTGGAGGAGGTGGGAATGGGGGGTAAGCTGGGGGTAAGGGGAGGGAGTGGGAGGGGGGAGAATAGGGGAACCCATAGCTGATATGTAGAACTGAATGGTATTGTAAAATAATATATATGTGTGTGTGTGTGTGTGTGTGTGTGTGTGTGTGTGTGTGTGTGTGTGTGTGTGTCCTCTAATGATATTTTAGGCTGCTACCCACCCCTACCCCTGTCACAATGAGTTATGAGCTTATAATCTGCTTAGTTCCTATCTCTGTGTATCACGGAGGCTGAGTATCTAAGCAAAACCAGCAGCACTGACCAATTTCTGGCTGGGAATGACTAACTCTATCCCCAGAGTCCCTCCCTGTGACATGGAGTCTGATTCCCCAGGTTTTCCCAGTTTCCCAAAGGTCAGATTCTTTTTATGGAATTTTCAGATTTTTAATTTTATGATCATTGGATTACATTTTCCTATTGTACATTGCTGGGGAGGGGCCTTTCTTTCTATATATTCATCCATGTGTTTTCAGAAAGCTTCTATTTATAGTACCAGTTTCTGAAAAAGAAACACCCTTGTTCCTGGCAACTAGGGATCCCAGCCACAAGGTATGCATAGAATTGAAATCTCTGTATACTTATCTCAAAAGATAGACTTCCCCATCTTTCCTTTCTCCAGTACAACCAGATATTTAAAGTGGACATCAGTGAGCAAAGGTAAAGACGAAGTATGGGTTACTGGCCACATTTTATATATATATAATAGCCACGTTAGTTGTCACCTACCCATATCTGTCTTTCTCAGTTACCAGGTCCAGGTCTGAGGGCAGTGGGGGTTGGAATATGACCCTGTATTCATACCAAACATGAGACTCAGGAGGAAGTAGAGGAGCATGGAGTGGAAGGGCTTGGGTCCCAATGAAACCTTAACTTTAATGGGTCCATAGTGTGGGAGACAGTCCATTTGGCAGGAGCATCTTTTACTTCCACTTTATTGACATGGATGTGGAGGATCCATGGTATAATGCCAGCTACCTTCACCACCATAGGAGTGGAGACGATCACCATGTAGGGTCCTTTCTAGGTTGGTTCCATTGCCCCTTTGGCTAAGCCCATTGGCCCAGTCAGTACCACCGGAACCAAAGCACAAATTGGTGGTAAACTCAGAGAGTGATAGGGTCTCTGGGATAGTCTGATCAATAGACTTCATGGAGAATTGGAGAGTCTATATTGACTTGAGAAAGGAGTGGTTAGGGAGTCCTGCCAACTGCTGGTCTGAGCTGGGGAAACAGTGGGGAGGTCTTCCAAACATCTCATGGGGGGTGAATTGTCCCTAACTGGGGCTCAGGTTGTCCAATGCAAAGAAAGGGATGAAATGGTCTATACACACTTCACTGGACTCTAATAGAGTTTTGTTAGAATTGTTTTGGGGTTTTTTGTTCTTTTAAATGTCCTGATTATTCTATTTACCTGACCAGTACTCTGAGGTCTCTATGCACAATGAGTTCCAATCTAACCCCAATATTTTTACTATTAATTATCAGTAATTTGATTCGTATGATCTACAGCCAGTGGGGAATGGTGTACTGGCTAAAGAGCCTCCATTTTATGTTAGGCATCCATCTTGGTGCCTAATAGTAATTTGACTCTAACTCCAGTCAATGGACGATAACTTCTCAGTAACTTCAACTAAGTGACCCAGTCACCCTGTCAAGAAAAGTACACCCATATCCACCTCCTTTGTAGTATACTATCACTAGCTGCCTTTTTGGCCTCTGAAAATCGCTTATGCAGACACTCAAGGACTATTCTTAGGTCCCCTTGACTACCTAATCTTGACAGAGCAAAACAGCTCTTTGTTGCTTGTACAGATACTCGAGGTCTTCTTGTGGTTTTCACATTTAAAAACCTTCCCTCATCCCCACCCCTCCTGGCTCAACAGTCTCTGTTAGCCTCAGAGACAGTTGTCCTGCTAGCAGCTACAATACATTTAGCTGGTTATAATTAATCTGAATTGAGTCTATGCTCTTTTCCCAGGAGTCTCTTACTCCATAACATGGGGAGCAAGGGAAGCTTTATACACTTGGGCTAAACCCACTCAGGGTGAGTACTGGACACAGACTTCCTGATCCATATATGGCTCAAAATGGGCCTGTCTGGGTTACTAAGATGGCTCAGCAATGCTTGATGTTTGAAACTGACAACCTGAATTTGATCCCTGGAACCTGCATGAAGGTGGAAGGCAAGAGCTGATGCCCAGAGTTTCCCTCTGACCCCTAAACACATTTCAAGGCATGAACACACACACACACACACACACACACACACACACACACACACACACACACATCAGGCAATATAGTTATATGAAGTTTTAAAAATTAATGTGCTTATCCATGTCCTCAGAGATGATCAGAGTTATTGAAATAGGCTGACAGAGCTCAGTAGCTGGCTGCATTCTGATGGGGTAGAGTAGGGAGTGGACTTTATCTATGTCAGCCCTTACATTTGTGGCCCACTCAATTTGTCCTGCAGGAGCATCTGTGAGAAATGTACAACACGAACTTTCTCAATTGTATCAATGTAGGCGTCAGACCTCATACCTTAGGAAAGTTTCTCAAACAAAAAATTCAACCTATAGGAATACCTAGTCACAGAAATCAAGGTGTGCTTATAAACAATTTATTTCGCTAGATTGTAACATTCATCACATACTGCATGCTTTAAATCTGTTACTGCTGACCATGCAGACAAACACTGCTTTTCAATCATAGCAAAGTGTCAAGGGGTAGTAAATTTGAAGTCAGAGGATAAAATTTCACCCACAGACCCAGCAGTTTCCTTGGGTGTCTATGGAAGTCGTGAATGCTAAAGTAGATCTCCCCCAAAATGATCGCACACTTCATTCTACCTCAGACCTCAGAGAACCACCAAGTTCTTGCCCCTGGGCCTCCTTTCAACACTCAGACCCATGAACTGCAGGCAGGAGAGGGCTACAGCTCAGCAAGAGGCAGCAGCTGGACCAGGAGACCAGGTAGCACCACAAGCAGCAGGAATGCCCGGCTGTCTCTGGCTCCTGTAGATGCGAGGAGAAAGAGAGTTTTCATATGGGCTATCTCAAGACAGGGATAGCTCCCCTAAACATTCAGAACTTTACATCCAGCTCAAAGCCCAAGAGAGCAGGTTCTTGGGGGCCAGGATTCCTAAAGTACTCAAATACCAGGTAAAAAAGGCTGATAGATCCCCACCACTTCCAGAGTACTGTGCTCTAAGACACTGACTGGGGTTAAAAGTCTTTCCTATTAAGAGTGTTCCTGGTCTTCTAGGGAGCCCCACAGGCTTTTCCTTCTTTGCCCAGAAGGAGGTTCCTGGGTCTGAACCTTCTGACAGTCCATTGTTGCAGCAATGTGTATTCCTTCTGTGTCAGCTGGTGTGAACTAGAACCTACCTGTGGCTCTCAGCCTGCTTGGACATCAACCATTTGGCCGAGAAGGGCAGCACCTTCTGACTGAATTTTGGACCTGGGTAGGGGTCATGCTTTTTGGGGGGCTTGACATAAATTCCAAATTCCTCTATGCAAATGCGTGAAGCCCCTATGATCATTCCTGTAGTTTCACTTCCTGCTCCAAAGACTTCCCATGTTTCCAGAGACAGAGCTAATTTTATCTAAGATTGCTCTGTACCCAGTAGTCTAACTGTAGTTCATTTTAGGTTTTCCCTGGCCTCTCACTCAAACTTAACTTCCTAGGACAACATTTAGTGCAGCCTGGATGTAAGTAAGTAATCCAGACACTGTGCAGATCCTGAGTGGTGGGCATAGGAGACAAGGTCTCTAGACTGTAAGCAAGTGATTTTCCTGTGAATGTCGAAACTCAGTATGAGTTTGGGTCAGATGACTGACAGGTATACATGGTTCCTCATATTTAAAAATGAAAGATATTTGTGGATTGATAGCTACATACCAATCATATGTCTTGAATGCCTCTCTCTTAATTCTCAAAGCAATACTAGTACAATAATTATCATTTGGGTCTTTATGGTTCATACAGGAAAACTGAGGCACAGACATTTGATAACTTGCCAAGAGTATTGGAGAAATTATTTTGGCCACTCCACGTAGTTAAAAGGATATTTATTTAATGGCGTAACTCACAAATTAAGTAATGGGTAGGTCGCAGGGTCTGGGGAAGGTGTAACGCAGTCCAGCGGTGTTCTCCGGAGCTCTGCACAGTCAAACTGCACCGGTCAGCATCCCGGCACCGAGAGAGCGCGCCAGAGAGAGCGCTGACCCATCCAGCTCTCCGGTCCCCCGGCACCTCCCCTCGCCCCGCCTCATAGGCGTGACAGTTGCCAGAGTCTCAATGGGGGTTGGAGCTTCTAGAACCAAGCTGGAATGGCTACCCACTACATCTCCCCCTTTTTGTCTAAATAAGAAGGTTCTAAACTAATACAAGACTATATACAAAGGAATGGTTATCAAAT